GTGGCGAGTCCTCCCGCCCCGGAGCACGGGGCTCAGTGTCTGTGCAATGGATGACTGAGGTTCTCCAGAGAGTGCCCGGAGGACGCCGTGAGCCCTGCCCAGGCGCGGCGCCCGCCTTGGGTAGACCCTCCTTGCTGTAGCCCGAGTGTCACCAGCACCTTTGGGAAATCCAAAACTCGAAACCAAAACAGTTGGAGCGTCTGGAGACCTTCCATAGGCTCAGTTCCTTTCTTTGCAAGTTAAAGTAAACTCTTGGTATATTTTTGTATTTCACTAGTAATAGATATCCCTCATACGAAATATAGGTAAGAAAAACAGAGGAAGCAAACACACGCACGATCCCGTCAGAAGCAGCGGCGGGCGGCCTTCCAGACTCCGTGCACGCGGGGTGCAGCACGAGCTGTGGAGGCAGGCTCATGCGCTCTGTAGCTGTAACCTGCACTTGTTCTGTTGTTGGCAAGATTTCCGGGAACGCAATTTCTGGGTGGATCCTCACCTCAGTTATAACGGCAGACACTACCTCACTGCGTGGGGTACCGTCATTTACCGAACCGATCCCCCAAGCCTGTTTCCAAGCACAAAAACGGCCATTAGCCACTGACCCTGTTTCCAAAACTCTGTGCCTGCTTTAAAAAAAACCAGAAGATTAATTTTCCAAATAGGAATTAGGAAGTACTATTCACATTATAAAGGAGTCTACACGTTCTTGTTCAAAGAGCTTTGAAAAACGGGCTCCCCCAGGGCACCTGAGCACGTGGGCCGCGGTGTGCACGGCGCCACTCACACCCCGCCGCGCAGGGGTGGAGGGCCTTCCCTCGTGGGGGCCTTTCCAGGTCAGCAAGACGGGAGGCATGCACACACCTGCACACAGACAGGCTCACACACATGCACGCATGGGCACACATGGGCACACATATGCATGTATGCAAACATGCATCCAGGCAGGCACAATGGCAGACAGGCATGTATAGGCATGGGTGCACACACAGGTACACACACGTGCACACATGCACATGCTTCTAGTGGTTGGAAGCTCATTCCCATGTCAACTGAAAGGTGATGTTCATTTAATTCATTATTAATCACATCTAAGTATGAGAGAGCCGCTCCTACAACCACTCCTGAGGAATAAGCGATCATTTCTCTCTAGGAAGTAAAGGGAGGGAGGTGTTGATGAGGCCGGGCAGGTCAGAGACCCCGGTCCACATGACTTAGTGTGTAATGGGACGAGCAGACGAACCCCAGAGAGCACACACTTCATACCTGTCAGTGCAGAGGCTGAAAGAAACCCCCACTCCAGGTGTCGACAAGCTGGCCCCAGGCAGGCACACGGAGGTCGCGGCCCATGGCCTGGTAAGCACCCACTGAGAGTGCCTCTGTCCTGGCAAGCCCAGCTGAAGGCCCCATGCCCTCGACTTCCCCAAGACCCTCCTGGGGGCAGAGCAACGGCCTGGCCTCAGAGCAGGCACCTGCGTGACCCTCACATGCCCTGTGCCCAGCCAGCCAGCCCACCTCTGCTACACCGTGTGCCAAGGGAAGGGTGTATGCGTCTATGTTAAAGCGGGTGGTCAGAGTTAAGTCACGTGACACGGAAGCGGGCGTTCTGGCCTCTGCGGCGTGTAGCCCACTCTCAACGCTGTGCCACCACCACCCCATCTGGTGCCAAGACGTTTCCATCGCCCCAGTGCAAAATCCCTTGTTGGGTATATGTTTAATTGACCTGTAGTTACCTTGTCTTAAGAGGTGCCCCAACTCTTACCAGCCCTTCTCCTGCCCTCCCCTAAAACAGGCATTTAGCTAAGCAGGGCGAACCCCCAGTGTGAGCCTGGGACGTGCTGTCCCTCCTGTAGGCTTTCGTTCTTTAAGGGCTACGTCTAATTCCTGCTAAAAAATTCTATTTCCTGTGGGGTGCCAGAAACCAGTGGTTCAAGCCCCGACTCTGTCTCTCATCAGTGAATGACCTTGGACAGGTTATTTACCCACTGGCCCTGCTTCCTGTCCATTAAAGGGGTAATACCGCCTCTGTGGGAGGGCCGTTGGCAGGACGGGAGGGGAACGTATCTTCCGTAGAGGAGCCAGAACAGTGCCCGGCGCAGGGGGAGGGCTCGCAGTAAACGCTTTCTAACATTTCTTTCTCCTTGCGCAAACTACAAAGTCGTCGCTGTCACCGTTCCAGTCGTCATGCGGCCACCACTGTCCATCTCCCTGACTCTCCATCCTGCGAAACTGAAACTCTATCCCGAGAAAGGGTTACCCTCCCCTCCCACGCGCACACGGCCCCTGACAGCCGCCCTTACTTCCTGCCTCTGAGTCTGGCT